CCTCCGTCCCAAATTACTTAGCCAAACTTGACTTTTCAAGTCAATGGCCTCTAACTTTGACCAATTATTTAAGCTAATATATTTATGCAAAATTTAATAATTTTATACTTTTATAATAGTGTTTTTAACAAAGAACATTTTCATATCATTTTCATATTATCAATATTTTCTCTATATAAACATATAATCGGTCAAAGTTAGACGACGTTGACTTGAAAAATCAAGTTTGACTAAGTAAATTGGGACGGAGGGAGTAACTTTCATGAATGAATTTGTCCTCCATTCATCATCACCCGTTATCCGTCAACCTTTCCAGTTTTCGAGAGTCAGTAATGTTCTCCATTCACCCATCACGAGTCATGCATGAAACTAAATTTTAACTTGTATCTGTAACTACATATAAAAATTGAAGATAATAACAGTCAGTAAACCTTAAACTGTGCAGAACTAAATCTCTCACTACACTGTCTCTAATGGTCATCAATCCAAACATTTTCAGGTTTCATTGCTTGTAGACTCTTGTTGCTCTTAAAATCAGTACACTGTACACATATCACTTTTCCGGTCCATTATAGCACTAATTTTAAAAATGTGTATATTCTTTAGTAGACAAATGACAAATAAAATATGGTAATTATAGTCCCTCTGTCCCTATATAAACTTCCTACAGTTTATGGTTACTCAAAAAAAAAAAATAAACTTCCTACAGTTATTTTATGGGTTTAATGCACCAAACCCCTTTATGATATAGAAATTCGGCGCATTAATCCCGTGTGATTTAAAAAATGCGTCAAACCCTTCTGTGTTTTAATTAATCATGCACAGAACCCCTTTTATGAATAAATTCAATTGTCAAATAAAAGAAAAATGATTAACATTTTTTTATGATTTAGAGATTTTGACATATTTACTTGCATATTCAATCTGAATATTACAAAAAGTGGTATTGAAATTGTTAAATTTATTCATAAAAGGGGTTATGTGCATGATTAATTAAAACACAAGGAGGTTTCACGCATTTTTTAAATCACAGGGGGCTAATGCGCCGAATTTCCGTATCATAGGGGGGTTTGGTGCATTAAACCCGTTATTTTATGGATATCCCCAAGTAAAATCTTCTTTTCTTAGTTAGTAAATAAATTTATACTCCCTCTGTCCCGTTGGAATGTTCCCGGTTTGACCTACACACATATTAAGGAAATAAACTTACCAGGGGTAAATTTTACTGTTTTGACACTGTTTCGACACTGTTTGGCACTGTTTCGACACTGTTTCGACACTGTTTTGCACTGTTTGACCCTGTTTTGATGTAGGATAACTTTCCATTTAGAGAAATGGGAACTTTCCTACGGGACATCCAAAAAAGGAAAGCGGGAACATTCCAACGGGACGGAGGGAGTATTCTTAAGCAGTAGTCTTAATTGACTCTACTGCTTATCCTACTGCTTAATAACTTACTTTTTCTTGAGATAACTGTTTCACAAGAGCTTCGGAACATCACTACTAAAAGGTCTGTTTTAACAGTTCTCAGAACACACACCTTAAACGCAGCAGATGCCTCAGCAGTTACCTGATTCTACCCAACTGCTGAGACCTCTGCTCAAGCAAAACACCTTAACATCTCCAGCTCAGCACATATTCAGTAAGCCCTCATCACTCTATATAAGGCCATATAATCATCTCTCCCAAACTCCTATTTTTCTCTAGCAGTTGCCTCAGCAATTCCCTGCCATCTAGGCAACTGCCAAGCCAACTGCTCACTGGTTGAAGTCCAAATATCATTCAAACTAGAAAGTTATCACAAACTATCATAAAGAGGTTAAAAACTTCTGTTGTTGATCTATAAATCTCCCAAAAGGTTTTAGATCAACTCATCTAGAAGGGAAAAGTTTTTAAATTTGAAAAAGCTTTAAAAATCTATTCACCACTCTAGACTTTTACCTCTATCCGGGACTATCACTATTTTAAAGTGAAAACTATAGCTAAAGACGACCGGTGTCTTCAATAGATTTTGATACACTTATAGAGTGTTGTGTTTTTGTAGTAAATTGTTAGCCCCATAATGTAAATATATAAACTTTGGCGTATTTACGGTCTTCCACTAATGTGAAAGCCCAAAGCAGGAGAACCGTCATGTCTTTATGCGGTTAAGTTGTTGATCACATAAAAGGTTTTTAGCAGACCTGTACATAAAAAAATATGACATCAATATGTAATATATAAAATGAAATAAAATTTCTTAAGTTTTAACCGTTGAAGTTTTCTTCGGTCTAAAAAACGATGAAACACACAGTTTTAATTCATGGAGTCTTCACAAATAACTGAATATTTTATAATCGAATTTTAGTTGAACTAAGTTCGTTTTTTGTTAACCGAAAAACATTAAAAAATTAATGCAATTTATTTATTTTTACATCGAAATGTGTATTTTTTATTTCATAATTATTCAGAGAAAAAATTTAAAAGGAAAAGATGACTTATAATACTTTAATCAATGTTATACTAAATTGGTATGTAAAAAGATATGCTGAATGTATTTTATTAATGATGCTAGAGTGCATAGAAATAAGAGTCTAAACACTATTTTCATATGAACAGAGTTCATTTTTAACTTTTTGACCTCTCAACCACTCCAAGTGGTCTTAGTCCCATAAAAACATCACATTATCTTTTATGTCTGTTTATATGGTAAACAAATTTATATTAATTTACTCTACTACTTTTAAATGATAATGATAGCACAATGCAAAATAATGTCAAATAGTATCAAAGCAATATACTTTATGGTAAAAATTTCCCTTTGGGTGTTTCAAGAAGTCAAAGGAAAAAAAGTACTCCGTATTTCCTTAAAGCAGGAAGATTAAATAAGGACTCCAATTGGAATAAGTCTTGTTTACATGTAAATGATGAAATATTAGGAACATACAAGCTAAAACACATCCTACCATTGGCTAATAAGAGAGCAAAAACAAGCTCGACTATGAAAAAAATGCACACTGTTACATTGACAAAGAAAAGAGCCTGCAAAAGGAAAATTTACTGGTGAAGGGAATGGAATACTAGCTGTCATACTAGGAATGCGTCTCCCATCTTTAGCACCTTTCAATAAAGATGCTCTTTTTGGCAGAACTCTACAAACTATTCTGACCTCACCACTTCTTATCAAACACCACTAGGCAGTTCCATTTGGCTCAGCCAAAGTCTATAGTACAGAGTATACCTAACCAGGCAAACTATATACTGATTAGTTGTTGATTCATATGCAAACAAGAACACAAACCACATGGATGGAGGGAGTATTAGATTCCTCAACCATAATGATGACCTCTCAGCTCATTTGGTTCATGCTTTTAAATCAGATGTAGCTAGTATGTAGGGAATAGATGAAACAATCAGCTTTGGGGTAGCCACTAGGCACTAGCTAGCTAGTACCCCTATGGGGCACTAACATCTCCATAAAGGATGGACCTGATTAGAAGTCTAAATAATTCATTCATATAAATTTGTTAGTGAAAAGATTAAAATGTTGTTAATGTATTGACAGTCCAAATATAATGTTTCACATTTAAATGTTTGCTCTTTTTTACTACAACTGTATTGTTGCAGGTATGTTCAGGTGGTCATGCCAGCATTGTGTCAAAAGTAAAAAAATTGTGTTTTTTAGTCCAAGTGATTTGCAGACTATAAGGACTTGCTTTTACAGTCTTTACTATTTTGCTAAGTTTCAAGAGTAAACAATATGAGTTCATAAACAGTTTGTCATTGAAGTGGTAGGGCTATCTGGTTTGCACTATGCTGAGCTTGTACATGCTCTTAATGCTGAAACCCATGGTCAGTTTGATAATTATTAGAGATGATGGTGACTATTCTTCTGGCCATATGGACCCCCATCCTGCATTTTTAGTTATGAGACTCAAACTCCCATGCATATGCCTGCCAGTTGCTAGTTCTTAATATCTATTGTATTTTGTGATCCCCCAAGTGGCACTTGGATTTTTTGGAATAATATACTTAACCAGGGACTTTGTGGAGGGCCCACATTGTGCATTATAAATTTACAACTGATAGAGCCATATAGCCATTCTAAGGCTCCGTTTGTTTCAAGAAAATGTTACAGAAATGCTTTATGAACTTGTTTCTTTTTTTCTGTTTTATTGCATCAAACTTTGTATTGAACAAATATTTCAAGCAATTAACAGCTAACACTTTCCACATTTTTTTCTCATGTAGGTGGCAAGGTGGGGTGGGAGGGGGTTCTATAATTACATAACACAGTTCAGTGCAGAATTCAAAATTCAAACTGAATCATTCAATCTTTTGAAATGTAATTTGTATAAGAAATAAACCCCACGCCTTGGTTAGTTATACCCTCCCTCAAACTGTTAAATGAACTACAAAAAACCTACACTTCTAATTATACAAAACTTAAACAGGCCGGAAAAACCAATTGGGCTGTAAGTGCTACACTACCGAAGATGTTTTAGCTCAAACATTTAGGCCTGCCCACTAGTAGCCCTCAATTGGTGGAGTCTCCATGCCCTAAATTAAGCCCAACCTCAAGAGTAAATTGAGCTTGCATCATGAATAAAAAAAGATACTCCACTACAAACATTTATATTTCCACCTAACTAATTGAGAGTCCTTAAACGTAGTATAAGATTTACTGTTTTGTGATGACATTTAAATTAATAGTTAACATTTTGACATTTAGAAGCTACACAAAAAAATATTGAATTGTAAAATCTGAATCTCAATACAATAAAAAGTTATTCTATCAAAAAAACTTTAAAAAGTAGGTTGATTGGTCTAAGCTTTAAATTGAGACTAATGAAAAAACTTAGTAAATATTACTGGTCAACCGAAAATTGCTATCAAATCTCAGGTATCCTAGACCAATCCAAAAGGCCTAAATCCCTTCTTGCAAAGGGAAAATTCATAACTAAACACCATTCCATGACTACCCTTCTCTCAATACTGCAGCTATCTTTATGGATTGCAAAGATTAGCAATTCTGTGTGTGTATAAGCAAAACACCAAGTAAACAAAATTCATGGCAAATTACATGAAAATATACAGCTAAAGATAGTGTTTCATTTTCTTCATAAGAATTTCGAATTAAAAACTTTACATGCCTCACCAATTGATTAAATTATTAAACAGAAGACATTTTTTGCGTGTATTCGATCAATATTCAAAACCCTTTAGGGACAGAGTTCTTCAAAACCACAGGTTGATCAATCATGGAGAGGCAATACTTAGCAATTTCTCTAAACTTTGGGACACTTCTCAAGTCAACCTTAGTACCATCCTTGAGAGTGATGATTATGTCACCCCACTCTCCTATAAACCTGGGCACAACCTGAACTTCCCTGATTACCTTGTAGGAAAAGTCGATTCTGTCCTTCTTAGTCTTCCCTGAAATCACAGTGACCCTTTGATTCGTGAACCTGTACCGCAGATTGAAGGCTCTGAGAATTGCGGCTAGTGACAGCGGCAGCCAAAGAAGAGTGAAACCCAGAAGAAGGTTCGCTGCCAGATCTCCGTAGTGAGATCCGCCGTCGAAAAAGACGGTTTCTTGGGTGGATCTAGTGGAAGGGACGATGGGTGAGGAGGGTTTCGAGGACACGTGGAGTCCGGTGATTGATCTCGTGGGTTTTCGGGGTTGGAAATTGAGGAATGGAGGACTAGTAATAGCAAAGAGAATGGGGTTACTGTTAAAGGTCGCGGTGGCCGGTGAGACAAGTGGAGAGGCAGATGCGGGGGCGGCCATGGAAGGTTCATCAGTTGGGATAGAGAACTGTTGAGGCATGAAGATAGCTAAGTTTCAGGTCTGTTTTTTCTTAATCCATTGTTTCTGGCTAGATAGACTCCACGTGTCACGGTCTGATTGTCTCAGCCGTTATTTATCTGGATTTCTGGATTTTTAAGAAAAGTAAAATTATGTGATTATAATAAGTTGATAAAGAAAGAATAAAATAAGAGTGAATTGAAGTCTATTATGGAAAGAATTATACGGAGTATTTAGAAAATCAATATTCTAGCATTGATATTAATTGACAAAATCATGTGCAATATTTATGTTTCCTTTTGTAGTTTGTAAAGGCATAAGCCTATTAGCCTATATAAATAGGATGTAGTTGTAATCAAAAGGAATAAGAGGAATAATATACAGATTCATATGCACTTTCATAGCAATTCATATTTGTTTATTACATGGTATCAGAGCCGCCATCATAGGCGGCGACGAACATTGTTATCATGGCCGGAGAAGACACAGAGGATGAACCGGCGAAGATAGACCTTATCCTGGGATTTGCTATTCAAACGGACGGAAGAAATAAAATTAGACAGCACAAATCGAGCAAACCTGGAGTGGTGTGCACTCAATGCCACCTCCCTGGACACGACGCCATTAGCTGCTCTGAGATCGTGGGCTATCCAGAGTGTTGGGGCGACAAACCTAGGGTTGTCCAGCAGGGCGGCGGGCGTGGAAGTGCTTCGGTCAGCATCAGATGTGGTGGAGCTGCGATGAGTGGGCGTGGTTGGGGAAGCCTTCGTGCTCACGCAGCAAGAATTGAGGTGAATCGGACGTTTGCGCGCTTGGATGACTCTGGCGACGCAAGTGGCTTTGGAGAAAATCAAATACTCCCTGGGTTCTCATCCGAACAGTGGAAGGCATTATTATCTGCTTTTGGTAAAAGAAATACTCATTCTGATCGTATCTCGGATGAGTTTGATATTTTCTCATGGATTATAGATACCGGAGCGTCTAATCACGTGACAGGAAATATCTCTTGTTTAAGTGATGTCGTTGAAATCAGCCATTGCTCTGTTGGGCTTCCCGACGGACAGAAAGTGAAGGCTACCAAACAGGGGTTCAGTTCATTTATCATATTATTTATGTCTGTCTAATGTTTTATTTTTCCGAAATTGCACTGTAGCCTCATTTTGGTCTCCCAAATTACTGAGGAAAATAATTGTTTCGTCCAGTTCACATCTGACTTTTGTGCTTTACTATTACCAGCGCATACCTAAGCCTTATATTTTTGGAGTGCATAAAGATACATAAATTTTGGACATGTGGCATCGCCGGTTTGGACATCCATCAGATACAGTAATGTCTTGGTTACCTGGTGTGAGTAGATCTAAACATGTTATTTCTCAACCCTGTGACATTTGTTTTCAAACTAAGCAGGCTAGAGACACTTTTCCCCTTAGAATAAGTAATTCTACTCATAAATTTGAGCTTATACATTGTGATCTGTGGGGACCATATAACACTCCTGCTTCTTGTGGTGCTAAACATTTTTTGACCATAGTTGATGATTTTTCTAGAGCAATTTGGGTGTATCTTCTCGTTGATAAAACAAAGGTGTTTGCTACGTTTATGTCCTTTTGTGCTATGGTGGAACACCAATTTTCTCATAAAATTAAAGTGGTACGTAGCGACAATGGGACCGAATTTAATTGTCTTCGGGAATTTTTCCGTGTGTCTGACATCATCTTTCATACTTCCTGTGTGGCTACTCCGCAACAAAATGGACGCGTTGAATGCAAGCACAGGCACATCCTGAATGTTGCGCGTGCTCTGCGTTTTCAGGCACATCTTCCCATTCAATTTTGGGGAGAATGTGTGCTCACAGCGGCACATCTCCTAAATTGTACCCCGTCTGCTGTTCTCAAGCACAAAACCCCCAATGAAATCTTGCTTGGTAAAGTACCTGATTATAAAGCTCTTCGGGTCTTTGGTTGTTTATGTTTTGCTCACAATTTGCGCTCCGCTCAGGATAAATTCCTTAGTCGTAGTCGCAAATGTATTTTTGTGGGATATCCCTTTGGCAAAAAAGGGTGGCGTGTGTATGATCTGGAGACTCGTGAATATTTTGTCTCTCGAGATGTCAAGTTTTTTGAGGATCAGTTTCCGTTTAGTGTTGCCACACCAACATTGGTACATAAAAATTCCACACCATATGAACCCCCACCAGTATGGGAATATCCTACGACAGTACAGTCTTCTTCTGCATCAGATGAATCTCTTACTTTTGCGGCTCCACCACCTGAGGACATAGCATCAGACAGATTACCACTTGAACCAAGTGGCACTCCAACACCTCAAGACTTGGGACGAGGTAAACGGGTCAAACTTCCTTCCGTGAAACTGCGTGAGTATGCGACACACACTATTATTCATGAAAGTCCATTCCCTCATATCTCACCTGCACCGACCGTCTCTTCAAGTACTCCGTTTCCAATAGCTCACTATGTTAATTGTGATAATTTTTCTCCTCGATATCGTGCGTTTTTAGCAGCTGTATCCAATCACACGGAGCCCGCTTCTTTTCATGTTGCGGTTAAAGATCCAGGATTGTGTGATGCCATGCATGCAGAAATATGTGCGCTTGAATAAAATAATACTTGGACTCTGCAATCTCTCCCTTCGGGCAAACGGGCATTAGGATGTCGTTGGGTGTATGAAAGCAAGTACCATTTTGATGGTAGCATTGAGCGTCTCAAAGCTCGTCTTGTTATTTTTGGAAATCGCCAAGTTGAAGGACTTGACTATAATGAAACTTTTGCTCTCGTGGCCAAAATGGTCACCATTCGGGCTTTTCTGGCGGTTGCGGCCTCCAAATAGTGGGAGTTTCATCAAATGGATGTGCATAATGCCTTCCTACATCGGGACCTAGAAGAAGAGGTGTACATGAAGATACCTGAAGGATATACTACTTCTGACCCATCTCTGGTTTGTCATTTACATAAATCTCTGTATGGCTTGAAGCAAGCACCACGTTGTTGGTTTACTAAATTGGTCCAAGCTCTTCGAAGCTATGGGTTCTCAGTCCTATGCTGACTACTCTTTGTTTACACGCACTCGAGGGACTATCCAGTTGAATGTTCTTGTCTATGTGGATGACTTAATTATTTCTGGAAACGATCATGATGCAATTCTTCATTTTAAAGCCTATCTCAGTGATTGCTTTTTCATATGAAGCATTTGGGTCATCTTCGGTATTTTCTTGGCATTGAGGTAGCTCGAAGCTCCTCTGGTATTTTTCTCACTCAACGGAAATATACTCTGGATATCTTATCTGAAATCGGACTCCTTGAGGCGAAACCTGCAAATTTCCCCATTGAACAGAATCACTCCTTAGCAGCGGCAACAGGGCCTCCTCTTGCAGATCCAGAGCCTTATCAACGTCTTCTTGGCCTTCTTATTTATCAATCTGTGACTTGGCCGGATCTGGCTTATTCTGTTCACATATTGTCTCAATTTTTGCAAACACCATCTCAAGCTCACTGGGATGCTGCGCTACGGGTAGTCTGTTATCTCAAAGGCTCTCCAGGATAGGGTATTCTTATGTGTGCTGATAGTGACCTTTCATTATCTGGATGGTGTGATTCTGATTGGGCTGCTTATCCGCTCACCCGCCGTTCTTTGTCAGGTTGGTTAGTTTTTCTTGGTCACTCTCCTGTCTCTTGGAAAACTAAAAAGCAATCTACTGTCTCCTGTTCTTCCGCTGAAGCTGAATATCGTGTATGTCTGCTGCGACTTGTGAACTCAAATGGCTCAAAGCCTTGCTGATCAGTCTTGGTATTCATCATCGGAAGGCTATTCATCTTTTTTGTGAAAGTCAGTATGCTTTACATATTGCTCGAAACCCGGTTTTCCATGAACGTACGAAGCATATTGAAGTAGACTGTCATTTTGTTCGTGATGCTATTAAAGACAGGCTTATCTCTCCCAGCTATGTTCCTACTACTGTTCAGTTAGCGGATATCTTTACTAAAGCTCTTGGGAAGACTTAGTTTCACTATCTTCTACGCAAGTTGGGCATTTTGGAAAATAAATATTCTAGCATTGATATTAATTGACAAAATCATGTGCAATATTTATGTTTCCTTTTGTAGTTTGTAAAGGCATAAGCCTATTAGCCTATATAAACAGGTTGCGGTTGTAATCAAAACAAATAAGAGGAATAATATACAGATTCATATTCACTTTCATATCAGTTCATATCAGTTTATTACAAAGTCACACAAATGTTACCAAATATGATATGAGACAATAATATAAGAACATCCAAAAAATGGGATAATTATAGGGGCACAGAGTGAATATAGTATAATGTGCCGCTCACTTGATTTCATCAAATTTTGAACTCGAGACTTTCCATAAGGGAGAGTGAATAGGTGATCAACTGAACATGATTGCTTTCTCCTCACACGTACTTCATATAATTCCAACGCATTTCATAAAATATCTAGCGATTAAACTCAAATCTAAGGAAGTGGTACCATAAAGAGATGTCGACAGAACCCCTTTCTTTATGGTTTTCTTTCTTCCACTGCTTTTTCTTTCGATTAGGGTTGGTATAGCTTTGGGTTGGACTATGGCTCCTTTTTTGTTGTTTCATTTATGTCAGGAGCGGTGGTATTTGCATTGTCATCACCGGTGCCGAATGATATTGGGATAAATGTAGTAGCGGCTGCCCTACCGGCGTTGATGTTGGCCTATTGGGTGAGGAGATTCATTAATGGTGAATTAAGACGTTTGTACCCGGTGGCGGAACCAGCTTCGTGATCTTGGAGGGGCACATTATCTCAGAAGGCTCGGCTCTTTACTATCTTTAGAAATCTGTGTACAAAATCGATTCATATGAATTCTTTGTCAAACTTGAGTCTGACTATCCACAACAACAAAAAATAACAAGCTCAGTACATGGCTATAGCCCAAAATACACAATAGCAAAGATGCTACGCCAGTCACCTCAAAACAATAATGCTCTCGGTCAGTCGCTAGACCTAGTGGTCGCCAGCGTTATTCACT